AGGAAGAAAGAGAAACATCAATGTGAGAGAAACATCAACTGGTTGCCTCCCATATGCACCCCCACTGGGGACTGAATCCACAACCTTTCAGTGTACAGGACAACACTCAAACTGAGCCACACTGCCAGGGCCAGGAGCTCATTATTGGTAGCTGATCAGTTAATAGTAGGCAAAGTAGTAGGGTAGTCTCAGACAATAGATAAAACTGCTATGAGGTCCTTGGATGAATATACCTAGGAATCCACGTTTTTTGCAGTTAATGAAAACATAGATTATTTGTTAGACACCACACCTCTGAGAGAGATTAAATCAAATGCCCCTAAACCCAATGATGCAAAGAGAGAAAATCTAGTTATTAACCCTAAGGCACCTACCCCGAAGTTCACGTGGTTGCAGGAATGAAGGTTGTCCTGGATTCCAATTCTGTTCTGTTATATTTAGTTGTGCCACGTCTTGCTCAAGTCCACCTGTAGTAGAATCCACTGGAGCCTCCCAGTTCCCAGTCTTAGGAGGTGGAGGAGGAGTAGTTTCTGGAACTTGAGGTGCAGGGGTCAGCCCTTCAGGTGGAGGGGGCATCTCCTCTGCAACCTTGACTGCATCTCCAGCTTTGATTCTGGTTCTTCTTGCACGGGAATAGGATTTCTTTTCAATAGGCCTGTCAGGGGGCGGTGGTGCAGTGTCAGGAGCAGGAGCTGGTATCTCTGAGGGTGCCTCTTCCTTCTCAGGACTGCCAAGCACTTGAGCATCTGCTTCTGGAGACGGATCCCGAACAGGAGTCTGCTCCAGGCGCCGTGACCGGTAACTACTCTCATGTTTAACAGTCTCACCAGACCGGCCACCATGCTGTCCACCAGCCTCCATAGGCCTAAATCCAGCACGACCTTCCTTGAAGCTCCCAGATCGAGAGTAGTTCCTGGGAGCAGACATGCGGCCAGTACCTGCAGCTTTCCTGTTGATAAATGTCCTTGGTGGTAGGGTACCCCCAGGACCCTGGTGGCGATGGGGCTTGTTTGGCCGCTCACCAATCCAGCTTGGATCTCTTTGTGGAGGACTCCCAAACCTGAAAAAAATGGAACAGAAAAAGTTTAAACTGAAGGTCAGGAAGACGTCCCATATTTCTCATTCATTCAATTACTTTCTGGAATGGTATTTAAAAAAGCAGAGCCCGGCCAGGTATGGCTCAGTGGTTGAGCGTCAACCTAGGATCCAGGTGATCGGGGTTCAGTTCCTGGTCAGGGCACATGCCCAGGATGCCGGCTCGATCCCCAGTCAGGGGCGTGCAGGAGGCAGTCGACCAATGACTCTCTCATCATTGATGTTTCTATCTCTCTCTCTCCCTCTCCTTTCCTCTCTCTGAAATCAATAAAGATATATTTTAAAAAATGATAATAAAAAAATAAAAATAAAAAAGCAGAGTTCTTTCTACAATACCAATAGTTTAGGCTCCAAAATTTGCTCACCTAGGTTTCCTCATTCTTCGGGGTTTGATGTCATCAGGATTGTGAGCTGAACGGATGTCATATCCATAAAGAGCAATAAGCTCCTGTCGGGACTTTGGAGCCTGTTCATCTTCCCGGAACTTGTCATGCTCCCAACGACCCTCATCCTTCCACAGCTTTCGCTGACGCCCCTTGGGTCTGGATAAAACCAGGAAAAAGTGTCTTAGGTTGGAAGAATCTGTCAAGTAAAGATGTTCGTGAAACAAACAGCGTTGGGCAGGGAAACAGAAGAGACTTCATGTAGTCTTTCCATCTTTCCAGATTATACAAAACAGACCTCCCAAAAGCAAGAGTGAATCATAGCACCTCAGGGCTTGCTGGGCTCAACAGGAATAGACATAAGGAAAGATTTCACTTCAAACTACTTAATACCTTGGAAACATCTCTCTACTATATGGCAGCCTCTGCAAGTACTTCATATCCCAGAGGCCTTGAGCCTCAGATTAAGGAAGGCAGTGGAAGGGTAGGTGTGGATCCTAGCTACTGCACCAGGAGTTGCCAAATATTCTAAGCTTTACTTTCCTCTTGTGTACAAGAGGTAATACTTACTTTAAAAATGTTATGAGTGGTAAGTGAAATAATACAGGTAAAGCATTCAGCAAAGTACCTAACATACAATAAACACTAAATAGCAGCAAGTGGCTGTTACCTGACTTCCTCCTCCTGAGTTTGTCCTCGAAGATCATGCTCAAAGAAGAGCCCTTTCCGGGGTATGTATGCTGGGTTCTTCCGATCTTCATCATCATCCAAATGCTTGGGTAGTTTGTTCTCCACAGGCTCTGTGCTCTCCTGGAGGACAGATAAAGGGCTCCTTACTCCCTCCAAAGTTGAAAGCCCCTCTTCCAGTCCCAAAAGGGAGGTCTTTGGTGGGTACTGACCTGTCCATCCCCACTTTGCCTCTCTCCTGTCACAGTGCCTTTGGAGTCAGGCTTTTCTTCTCCCTTCTCTTCTTTTGCTGAATTAGCAGCATCATTAGCTTCAGATTTCAACTCCACTTTGGAATTTTCCTCTTCACTGTACTCTCCTTCTTCACCCTGAAAAAAGTTTCCCTGTCAGCTGTGGAGACAAGATCTGAAAGGTGCATTTTATTTTATTTTACTTACTTATTTTAAATTCTCATCAGAGAATATGTTTTTCATTGATTCCAGAGAGAGAGGAAGGAGGGAGAGGGAAAGGGAGGAAGGGAGGGAGGGAAGGAGGGAGTGAGGGAGAGAGAAAGAGAAACATCCATGTGAGAGAAACATCAAATGGTTGTCTCCTGTACATGCTCCAACCAACTTAGGGATCAAATCCACAACCTAGGTATATGCCCTAACCAGGAATTGAACCTGAAACCTTTTTTTGGTGTACAGGACAACACTCAACCAACTGAGGCACTCAGCCATGGCTGAAAGGTGCATTTTTAAAATTTCCATTCATTAGGAAAACATTTTCTAACAAACTTTACAATTAAAAGCAATCAATATTCTTCTAAGATTTCTAGAGGATAAGAGCACCGTAAAAATAAAATCACACAAAATACATCCACATATACATATGCTTATGTAAATCCACATAAGCTTTCTGGGAAGATATGCAACCAACTGTTAACAGTGGCAGCCTCTGGGGAAGGAGTCCAGGGAATATGAATGGGAGGCAGTAAAGTGCCTAGCATACAGAAGCAGCTTAATCTGTGTTGATTTCTTTCCCTCTCCATGAATTGTCTCTTAAACATGCAGTGCCTAATAACTATACTGTAACTCAAGTTGTGAATTTTCTCATCTCAAAATGGCTTAGAACAAAGATTCCCAATATTTTAGATTATGTGAACCCCCTTTTAGGATCTAAATTTTTCACAGACCTTGAGACAGCAGCTCAGTACAGTATCCACTAATAAAACATATAATGACAAACAACTACTATACATTCAATAATACTTTAAATTTAGCTGAGCTAGTAGATCTGCAAACTCCTCATAACTCCATGATTTCCCAAGGCATATTATCCTCAAGTTGAAAAATAGTGGCTTTGCCCTTGCCGGTGTGGCTGAATTGGTTAAGGGTCGTCCTGCACACCAAATGGTTGCCAGTTCCATTCCTGGTCAGGGCACATGCCCGGGTTGCAGGCTCAAACCGCAGTATGGGGTGTGCAGGAGGCAGCCAATTGAGGTTTCACTCTCACATCAATGTTTCTCTCTCTCTCCCTCTTACCACATCAAGATTAGATAATCCTGCTTGTGACAGAGTGGTGGGTCTGTCCACACAAAGGAGGGTCCTTAGGCTACCCTCTAAAAAGGGGCCACTAGGAAGGGTTAGGTAATAGGGGTGTGGCTAATTCTAGACAGGGAAAAAGGGCAGCTAAGGCTCATGCTAAGGGAATGGGATTTAGAAGAGTTACTCTCTTTTCTTGTCCTCCCAGGATTTGGGCCTAAGGAGGCAGAGCTATATAGGCTGGGGAGGTAGGTTTAGAAACCTGTGAGGCCACAAAGAAATGGGTTCGAGGGAAGGTGGTCTAGTCCCCAGTGCTAGGATAACATGTCAGGGTACTAATACACCTCTGCCACCTGGTAAATATGTGCAGAACTGCTCTTATTCTCCAACTGGGTCTGACACCTGATCTGAACCAGACCCTTTTGTAACTAGACCCAGGCTGGCCTTAGGAATCGGATCAGAGACTCACTATGAGATTTCTGATGAAGCAAGAAGCTCTAAGTTCCTGCCCTTTCTTCAAATAGAGCTAAAGTCAGCCTGATTGGTCCAAACAAGCCAATTAATTCCTCTTCCCCATTCTTCCCTGTTCAGCATCTAGATATTTTGGCCTCTAAGTGTTTTTGGGTTATATTCTCAGAAAGGTGATACTGGTATGAAACCCAAAGAATTGAGGAAGACTGCTTGACCCCACCCACACTATGAAACTCAAGCATTTACCCAGAGCTTTTTAACAACTAAATACCCTTGATTCTTCCCATTTTCCCTCAATCATAAGAAGTTCTTCCTCTTCTTGAGATGGGGATAGGTGGGTGGTAGTCAGTTCTTTCTTTGCTCCTGTTTCCTGCAGGTTCTAAAGCAAAAATTGCAAGAATCTTGCTTGGTGTGTATATGTGACCTTAAACACACACACACTGAATTCAAATATTTTAAAATAGTTTCAGCACGATCAGTAAACTTTGTTTTATGCTCCACCTCCTCTAGTCTGTGGTGGAATTTGTCAAATGAGGCAACTCTTTTATTCCAAATGAGAAACTAATTTTGTTCCCAGGGCAGGGTAGAAAGATACAAATGGCATAGTGCTGAGGAGACTCCAAATTAGTCAGTCTAGTCTAACTGAAGCCAAAGGCTACACTTAGGATCACAATGTTTTGGCTGAGGGATGACATCAAAACCCTTTTCCAGAGACAAACTCCCCTACTTTTGTTTCCACTACTTCAGTGAACACTCTTCCCAGCTCTAAAGCCTAACTCTCCCCTGAATCAACTGCTTCCCTAGCAGAATTCTCACTGTAGAGGTTTTAGCTCATTCTTCCACTCTCCACATATTTCAGATTAAGAGGTGGAATTGGTGTCTTCCTTGTTTTCAATGTCTCTTCCAGATCCAACTCTTCCAACCTCGTTTTAAACTCCTGCTCCTCTGGGGGCTCCTATCACCTGGCTATGCCTCTGCCTGGGCCCACCCTGTCATTCACTTTAAGACTTTAGCAATGAGTTCACAGTCTTCACCTCCACTTCAGGTATCCATTTCCATGGCCACACTCCAGACCAGTTTTACCTGTGTGGACGAAAAAAGGGGTTCTATGGAAAGTACCCTCACAGGGTGATCTGATTATAAATTTCTAACTGAGCAGGTCATGGTGGGTAGTCATGCCTCAGCCCTATAACTTCTTTGGTAAAAGGCTTATCTTTTCCTTAAGTAAAAGCCCTGTCCATTGTTTCTGTACATCTAGGTTAGCACACCTTTGAATAAGCAAACACCCTCAAGAAAGCACAAAATCTTGTTAACTATCCTGTAATCCAACCCCTGCCTTGCTTTTTCCCACCTCCTTGTAATCTTCCTTACAGTCCCTCCTTCATTTCGAACGCATAAGAGAAGCTACAAAACTTATTCTCCAGAACATTTGAGATCTTGCTCCCAGGCATAATGTCACCAGTTTGGCTCAAATACTCCCAAAAATTCTCTATAGGTTTCAATGTTTCTTATGTCGACACCTGGAACTGCTATGCAGGTTTTAAAGTAAAACCTGCTCCACCTTTTTAAATCCTAAATTTAAATACCTTAGGTTTTTATAAAAACTGCCACACTTAAAAGAATGGAGTTAGACCCTTACCTCAACCCATACACAAAAGTTAACTCAAAATGGATCAAAGACCTAAATGTAAGAGCTAAAACTATAAAACCCTTAGAAGAAAATATAGGGGTTAAGCCCTGGCTGGATAGCTCAGTTGGTTAGAGCATCAACCTGATATACCAAGGTTGCAGGTTAGATTACCAGTCAGGGCACATACAAGAATCAACCAATGAATGTATAAATAAGTGGAACAACAAACTGATGTTTCTTTCTCTCTCCCCTCCTTTCCTCTCTCTCTCTAAAATCAATAAATAAAAATTAAACAAACATAGGGGTTAATCTTCATGACCTTGGTTTTGTTATGGATTCAGCAAAGGCTTCTTAGATATGACACCAAAAGCATAAATAACAAAAGAAAAAAACATACTTTACTTCATCAAAATTAAAACCTTACAGCCCTAGCCTGTGTGGCTCAGTGGTTAGAGTGTTGGCAGCACACTGAAGAGTCAAGAGTATTCAGGTCAAGGGCACATACCTGGGTTGCAAATTCAATCCCCAACCCAGTCGGGGAGCATGTGGGAGGCAACCAATCGATGCTCTCACATCAATGTTTCTCTCTCTCCTCTCTCTTCCTCTTCACCCTTCCTTTCCTCCCCCTTTCCACTCGCTCTAAAAAATCAATGGAAAAAATATTCTCCGGTGAGGATTAACAACAAAAATAAATAAAACTTTAAACCATCAAAAAAATGAAAAAGACAACCAAGAGGATGGGAAGATGTTTGCAAATCATATATCTGATAAGGAATTTGTATCTAGACTATATAAAGAATTTGTAACTCAACAGTAAAAAGATTCCATTTAAAATGGACAAAGTGCCCTAGCAGGGTGGTTCAGTTTGTTCAAGTGTCGTCCCATACACCAAAAGGTTGCAGATTCAATTTCCAGGCACTGCACGTACAGGAGGCAACTGATTGATGTTTCTTTCACATCAATATTTCCCTCTCCCTCTCTCTAAAATCAATGAAAAACATATCCTCAGGTGAGGATTAAAAAAAAAGGACAAAGTATCTGAAGAGCCATTTCTCCAAGAAAGTACGCAAATTGGCTGATAAGCACAAGAAAAAATGCTCAACAAAATTAGTCATAAGGATAAAGCAAATTGAAATGAGATACCATTTCACACTTACGACTTGGAATAAAAAAATCAAGACAATAACAAGTGCTGTCTAGCATGTGGAGAAATTGGAATTCCCATACATTGTTTTTGGGAATGTAAACTGGTGCAGCTGCTTTGGAAAACAGTTTGGCAGTTTCTCAAACAATTAAACGGAGTTACCATATGACTCAGCAATTCCATTCCTAGGTACATACCCAAGAGAAATTAAATCATATATATACAAAAAATTTGTACACTAATGTTTATAGCAGCATTATTCATAACAAAAAATTAGAAACAACCCAAATGTCTATCAATGGATGAATGGGTAAACAAAATGTGGCATATCCATACAATGGAAATATTATTCAACCAGAAAAAGGAATGAAGTACTAATACATGCTATAATTTGAAAACATGCTAAGTGAAATAAGCCAGTCATAACAGGCCACATCTGATATGATTCCATTCATACGAAAGGCCAGAATAGGGAAATCTCTAGACACAGAAAATAGACTTGTGGTTGCTTATTACCCCTGCTTAGGAACTAGGGGCAGGGGTGATAATTAAATACAGGGTTTCTTTCTGAGGTGATGAAAATGTTCTGAAACTGTAGTAATGTCCACATATATCTGTGAATACACTGAAAACCATATTAATTGTACTTTTTTTTTTAATCCTCACCTGAGGATACTTTTTTCCATTTCTTTTTAGAGAGAGTGGAAGGGAGAGAAAAAAACATCCATTGGTTGCCTCCCACACTAACCCCAACCAGGGCCGGGGCAATCAAGCCTGTAACCAAGGTATACATGCCTTTGGCTGGATTCAAACCAGGGACCCTTCAGTCCAACGCTCTAACCACTGAGCCAAATCGGTTAAGGCTAGAATTGTACCTTTTAAATGGATAAATTGCACAGCATGTCAATAAAGTGGTTTTACAAAACTCTGACTATTATTCCTGTTTTTACCCAGTTTTTCCCTTACCCTCGCACCTACAACTTGAGATATCCACTCCCTTGACCTTCCCATTTTCTCCCTATCAACTGGTCCTTTCCCACATTCACTTTCATCTCTCTAGATTCCATGGCCCATTCACTTCAATCACTACTAATAACTCTCAATTCCCTTGCCATTTCCATGTGCTCGGGACTGGGCCAACTCAAACATCTCCTTTCTCTAGGCCTATAATCAGACTACAGACCATCACTGAAAGGAATTTAAAAAAACTTCATGCATCAATGTCACCTCCAACCTCAGCTACCCAAAACCTCTTAGTCTCACAACTCTTACCTCGACTTTCCACCAACCTCTTTCTTCATGTCTTTCCTTCTATTTCTCAGAGAAAACAAAACAAAGAAGGGACCACCAGCTTCCTCCCCACATACCTTTCCTTCCCACCTCTCCATAATTACAATTAAAGACATTTTCCTTGTCACGTTCCTATTTCTTCTCACATATTCAGTCAAGAACACCAGTACACTTATTACCTACTCGCTCCCCTTTCTTCCCCTTTTACTAATTCTTTCAATCTTTAACCATACTTGATTCTCCAACTTTAAAAAATAACCACCAGCCCGGCCAGGCTCAGTGGTTGAGCATCAACCCTAAAATTCAGCAGATCGCAGTTCGATTCCCAGTCAGGGCACATGCCCAGGTTGTGGGCTGGATCCTCAGTAGTGGGTGTGCAGGAGGCAGCCAATCAATGATGACTCTCTCATCATTGATGTTTTACCTCTCCCTCTCCTTCTCCCTTCCTCTCTCTGAAATCAATAAAGATATATTTAAAAATGAAAACCAAACCCTCTTTTAACCTCATAGGCTTCTTTCTAGCTACATCTCTCTAGCCTCCCCTTCACAGTCAAGTTTCTTTAGGATTCTGGGAAAATGGCAGTAGCATAGTTTTTGCTCTCTTCAAATCTCCATATGAAATGAGAGCTTCTAGACAGCAAACTCAAAACCCTTCTAACAACATTTACAAAAAAACTAGGTTACAAGATATCCCCAAGACCCCAAAATATATGCACATAAAAAAGCACCAACAGCCACAGATAGGTGTCAGTGCCAGAGAAAGCAGAGAGAAGTAAATGGATCTGAGAATAGGAAAATTCTGAAATAATCAACAGGTATCCAATGGAAAGCAAAACAGAACAGTTGAAATTAGGAGGGATTTTACTGTCTCTGGTAGCATATAAACATAAGGATCCTGTGATAAAGGAGGTCTGAATGGTGCTAGAACAGTCTAACCCTCTGAAATCTTGAAACTGACCTAGCTACCAGGGCTCCTTTCTAGGATAGGGTCCCACACTGAAGAGAAACTGTTGAGAAGAGAATCATATTGAGCAGAAGAGGGATTAAAAAAAATGAAGGAAAAAGAAGGTCCAAAACAAGTTAGTAAGAGGAATAAAAGCAGAAAATCTCAAAAAGCAAGCCACTATATATTTCTTAACACTACAGAGAACAACAGAAAAGGGAGCTCCGTGAAGTTAGAAAAAGCTACCCTGAGGCACTTCTAAGAGATCAAAAATACTAATTTTACATAAAAATCAACATAAAAATATAAAGGTTAAATCCCATATATAATTATTATGAGAAAAAAAGAATAGCATTCCTACAGACAATAAAAGTATGCCAGAAAGACATGCACATTTATCAAAATTGTAACTTCTACTTCAAAATGAGCTAAAAGACATTAAGAAAATTACATAAGGCATGAAAGATCAGAATTAGAAAAAATAAAAAGTGAAATGAAACGACTCAGGAAGGCATTAGAAACTGAAGAAAATAATTTCAAATACAGTCTAAATGAGAAGGAATACAAAAGTGAATAAACACAATAATGCCATAAGAGAAATAATAGGTGAAAAGAAAATATTTTAAAAATCATAAAGAGCCCTGACGAGCTCAGCAGTTAAGAGCATTGGCCCATGCACCAAAGGGTCTTGTGTTTGATTCTGGGTCAAGGGCATGTACCTGGATTGCAAGTTCAATCCCCAGCCCCCAGTCGGGTCGAGTGCGGGAGGAAACCAATGTCCCCCCACCCCTTCCATTCTCTCTAAAAGTCAATGGAAAGACTATCCTAGGGTGAGGATTAAAAAAAAAAAAAAAAAAAACCCCTGGCCGGGTAGGTCAGCCGGTTTTAACATCATATCACTATGCCAAGGTTGTGGGTTTGATCCCATCAGGGTACCTACAAGAATCAACTAAAGAATGCATGAATAAGTGGAACAACAACAAAAAAAATCGATGTTTCTCTCTTTCCCTTCCTCTCTCTTTTTAAAATCAATTTTAAAAAAATAAAAAATAAGAAGATAAAAACGATTAGAAAGGCTAAATATTGGAGAGAGACAAAGAATACTTAGGAGATCCATGACATATTGTAGAGTAGCACATCTCGTAACTGTGAACACTGACCCAGAATGACCAATACCAAGAAAATTCTAACAGAATTACTGGACTTCTAGACAAAAACAGCAATTGACTTGTAAGGGAAAGAAAATTAAGTGATCATCAATTTTGCTCAAGATAAAATCTTTGGCTCACGCTGTTTCCATGAATCTGAAAATACCCATTAGGCGGGAAATACAAAGGACAGAGGAAGCACGAATTTGGTACCCAGCGATTAACACCTTACTTAACCCTATCCTCCAGCAGGATATTCCTATTCAATTCCTGTGACTACCTGAATGTTTGACTTCCTTACTTATAAGACTCCTAAATTTAGGAATTTTGTTAGTGTTCACTATTGCATCTTCAGGGCTTAATGGAAAGTCTAATAAGTAGTGACGAGCCTATAAGATTTATAGAATGAACCTTTGATCCACAATCCAATTCCTCCTATATATAACCCCATAACCCAAATTGAGAACTCAGGACTCCATTCACCAACTACAGGAAAGCCATTCTGATGCCATCACTAGTAGTTTATCCAATCAAAACAAGTAAGCTCAAGAAAGCTTGGCTTAGGAAAACTCCTAAAGATAAGAGAGAAAAAGCCCCATCTATAAGCAGGGATGTTTTTGACACAAAGCACTCAGAATCCTACCCTTTTAAGGTCCTCAGATACACCGGAAAAAAACACCCAACTAGCTGGCTTCACTACCCAGGCAGCATAAAATGAACTGCCATATGCTCTGTGAAGGGCTTCAGAATGTTCTCATTCGCTGATTTAGAACTTTATTTTCTTCAGATAGTTGGAAGCTAACTACTAACAATATAACACATGTGGCCTGAAGAGGCCTGAACCAAGTTTCCCTCACTCTAAATCAAGGGTGGGGAATGTCCAGCTCAGGAAATCATTTGGTGTGGCTCTGCCAAGGCAACTGCAGGAGGGACTCGAAATTCAGTAAATCTATGAGCTTTTTTCATAGCTAATTTTTAAGCTGATAATTTTGTATGGCCTGAGAACGATGTTATATTCAAATGGCCCTCAGCAGAAAAAAGGTTCCCCATCCCTGCTCTAAATGAACAAGACCTTTTGGTCCCTGGCTAGGTAGTTCAGTTGGTTAGAACATCACCCCAATAAGCCAAGGTTGTGGGTTTGATCCCCAGTCAGGGAACAAATGGGAATCAGCCAATGAATGAACAAACAAATGAAACAACAAACTGATGTTTCTCTCCATATATAAAATCAATTAAAAAAAATTTAAAAGACCTTTTGTAACAGTTTTTCAAAAGCATAAATGAAGAATGCACAAGAGTAACAAGTAGGTCATGGTACTTTTGAACCACAGGCATACACATGTTTTAAAAATATATATACATGTATAGATACATATGTAATAAAATATATTTGCCAACCTACACCAAAGGAAAAAAACCTATCACACTCACTTCTGAGTCTTCTGCACTTTCATAATCCGAGAGAACAGCTGAAAAGAAAACAGAAATATATAAAGAAAAAAGAAAGTAACAGAAATTATTGTAATTATACTTCCTGACTACTGCTTGCTGTGGGTCAGGCTAAAGATCCTTTAAATCTGATAACAACCTACGAAGTAAATAAAATTATAGCCTCCACTTATAGGTGGGAAACAGGCTCAAAGAGTGACTTGCCTAAAAGCATACTGCTAAAACGTTATGCTCCTTTAGTACTATGCTATAAAGAGCCACTCTGTACCACCCTCCCCCAAAGCCCTAATATATGAGAGGCTGTCAGCTGCTGGAAATAGGTGACCGGAGTTTTGGGGCAAAAATTTCATCATGATGCTACTCACCATCGCCCTCGATGCCATCTTCACTCTCCTGAAGGGAAAGAGAAGGCATAGGTTAGTTCTGTGATTTCCAGTGGGTGGAGAGCTAAAGACTCAATACAAAATGGTTAAAAAAGGAGATAAGGAATGGCACATCTTTAACAAGTAGAATCTGAGGGAGGCCAGGTTTCTTCACCTCCAGCCCCAGTTTCGGTCAATTCGCACAGACTCCGCACTCCTCCCAGAGACCCCCAGCCCCTCCTCTTCCCTTGGGGCTCCGGATGCAAACCGCAGAGACAGCAGTTCGATACTTCAACACAATAAGCCTCAGCATCTACCACCAACTCCCAGCCTCCCATCATCACCTAAACCTACCGCCCTGGGGCCCGCAGGCCACCCGCCCCAGCCCACTCCGCC